CTTTTCAGATCATAATGAATATCATTATATGGACAGGAGGACATGAGCATAATGAATATCATTATATGGACAGGAGGACATGAGCTACCTGGGGTGGCAGGTAGCTTAATGCAACGTATCCCAGCTCATGCCTAACGAATGGACAAGTCTGTGCAGATGCATAGTATGCGTCCCAAATGGCTCCATTTTGTAGTGCACTACCAGGGCCCATAGGGAATAAGGTGCCATTTGGGACATAGAGCCATATATGCCTGTAGATCCTTGGGGAGCTGAAATACAGTCCACTTAAGGAGGGTGCCTAGGGCTGCCGTGCATGGTCCATTACAGAGCATTTGCTCCAATAAGGGCCAAGTAAATGAAATTGTGGCTCAGAGTTGATTGTACAGAATAAATGTAATGATTCAATCCAGTTTGTCCCTTTAGTGTTCTGATTGAGTTGGTATTGGTCATGTAATGGTGCTGGGTAAATGATAGGCAGTTTGGGAGCAGCTCCCTAGGCCTCCCCTGGGGACAGAGAAGAGAGAACACTCATTGCGTTACAGTGAATATATTCTATTTTTATGCACTTTTCTCTCTATGCATTTCTGACCTTGAACTTAAGCATGAGAATAGCATGCTATTCACCCGCTATTTGTTTTGGGTGAACATTTTTAAAAAATGAAGGTTTGGCGGAGTTGTGTCTACAGATATGCCATATTCTGACCTTGACTTAATTCCACCACCTTTACGTGCGATGAAACGATGAATAAGGTCGAGCAACCTGTCGGTTCCAAATGGAACAACATCTACAAATTGATAAGAGCTATTGATAAGAGCTAAGTATATGAGTAAGCCATTTCGATAAGGGGATTGTAAATATAAATGACAATTGTTTCAGATCTATTTTACCTTATGATCGCTGGAGACAAATTTGAAACCAGTCATATGGCAGCAAGCTGAAGCATATCGAAATACTGTATCACCTTTTCCACAGTGAAGTTTATGAAATGCTGGCCTTATAACTTGGGATGAAATTGGGAAACCCAAGCTAACCTTCTGTAGCCATGACAGATGGCGCCAAACCTACAGAGTTGATTTATGATTTCTAGAATGTTTAAATTATATGCCCAGACTTTTCACTTTATTTTGTACAATTTGTATTGTGTTAAATATTAGCCACTATCGGTAGCCACCGTCAGTTATACCCACATACATTTTATAACTGTTAGTGTTAGTTTCCTTACATTTTGCATCCTTCCATTACATCGTTATTTTACCTTTCTTTCCTCTGTCACGTTCGTGTGGTTGTTCCTGAGAATCGCTAGCAATAGCGGATCATATTAGGCTAACGTATTACAAGTTGTGCAATAATTTGGGACATGTAGCCTATTTGAATCATTATGGAACGCAGACCATACGTAGCAGTTTAAACCTGGAGCCTGGCGTACAGTTCACGATGACTGATTAGTGAGGATTATTAGGGTAGATTAATGGGGCTACTGTTCAACCCTTGTTGTACATTTCTCACCATCAATTGTTCAATCCATTAAATATTGGAATATGGCAACTTTCAGGATGAATCAAACCACTGTATTATTGATTCACCAATATATTTAATGCGTAAAGGCTCTCCAAACCTGTTTTTTAATTATTCATAAATACTAACCCTAAATAATATACAAGATCAGAGTTTTTTTAAATCTACCAATTGGTGCAGAAAATGAGATGAATATGCTTACATTTACATGGCTTTCTTTCATTGATTCCTAATATTCTGAACCATTCCCTCCATATATTCTAGTGAATTAGAACATTCTAATGAAAGGTGCACCAAATTTAAATGAAAACTCGCGAAAACTGTTGGCCAGTAAGTGGGAGGGTTTTCAGCAGTTTAAAGAAATGTATTCAGCACGCTCAAGGGAACCACGCATGCAAAGCCCGTTACGCACCTGCATAAGGTTAGTCTGAATCAGGCCCTAATACTTTACGCTCTGCCTGTGTAGTATCACTGTAAGCTAATTACCACAATAATAACATTGTTGTTTGGGCAGTACTTTGTTTTAAACACACAAGTGGAATAAATAAAGAAAAGCCGTTCAACTCTGTTTATGTGCAGTTCAAACACAATTACTAAATGGCTATGTAACAACATGTTACATTTAGGCGTAAGTACAGTGTTACGACACAGGTTTAAGTGCAACTTAAAGTGTTACGAAAAATGCAGTTTTGATGTAAGGTTTTATTTATCCTTGGTTACCATGTGCAGCTCTGTCAACACATGCTACAGCCTAGTTTATTTTTCTCTTGGTTTGAAGCGCTTCCTTGCGTCTCCTCTTTAAAGTGGCCCTTGGCGTTGTCTCCCTCACTTACCCTTTCAATTCCCCTTTAATTGCAGTCAGTGTTTGGCTGTGGTATGCTATGCGCTCTGCGGTGGGGGGTTGGGGGGGTCCGGGGAATCAATGAGAGATGGGAGCCTCCGGCCCAGCTGGAGGGACTAAACACAGTTAACAGTCACATAGGGAACAGCACTGTGTCCAAGTGAGCTGAAATCACAGCCTGATAAGTGGCCACTGGGACCACAATGATGCCTGTTTTGTTGGCCACTTGAGATATTTAATGTGGTGTGTGTGAGTACTTGTGTAAACTGTATGTGTCTTCATGTGTGTATGGTTCACGTGAATATGTGCCCCTCACACTGTTGGCTCCAGGAGTCCAGCCTGCTTGCTGATTTGATGTTTCTCTCCTGCAGGTGTGAGCTTCATGGTGCCAGCGGGGGCTGTTCCTCAGGGCCGTGTGTATGAGATGTACGTGACGGTGCACAGGAAGGACAGCATGAGGTGAACTCCACAGCACAACAGCAGCACCAGGGGCTGGAGTCCTCTGCCTGCCTGGCTGGCTGCCTGTTCTGTCAGCCTGCCTGCCTGCCTGTCCAATAAGAAGCTCCATGCAGGCTAAACTCCTATACTTTAACGTAGCGCCACTGTTACCCACACTCTTAGAAAAAAAGGTGCTATCTAGAACCAGTAATGGTTCTTCGGCTGTCCCCATAGGAGAGCCCTTTGAATAACCTTTTTTGGTTCCAGGTAGAACCCTTTTGCGTTCCATGTTAAGACACTTTCCACAGAGGGTTCTACATGGAACACAAAAGGGTTCTCCTATGGGTACAGCTGACGAACCCTTTTGGAACCCCTTTTTCTAAGTGTGCAGTTACCACTCACCACCAAGATACAAGACAGGCTTTATGTGTTCAATGTCAACCAGATTTGAGCCATTTTAAGCACTACTCAATAGAAATGGAAGTGACTAGAAATTGAATAGAACATGCTTCATGTGTTTAACATCACACATCCACAAACATCAATTGAGGTTTACTACAGTGATAATATGCATACACATGCAAATAAACTCAGCAAAAAAATTAACTTTCAAAAATCAAAATAACTTAACAGATATTCACTGTAAAGGGTTTGAACACTGTTTCCCATGCTTGTACAATGAACCATAAACAATTAATGAACATGCACCTGTGGAACTGTCGTTAAGACACTAACAGCTTACAGACGGTAGGCAATTAAGGTCACAGTTATGAAAACTTAGGACACTAAAGAGGCCTTTCTACTGAGTCTGAAAAACACCAAAAGAAAGATGCCCAGGGTCCCTGCTCATCTGCATGAACGTGCCTTAGGCATGCTTTAAGGAGGCATGAGGACTGCAGATGTGGCCAGAGCAATAAATTGCAATGTCCATACTGTGAGACGCCTAAGACAGCGCTACAGGGAGACAGGACGGACAGCTGATCATCCTCGCAGTGGCAGACCACGTGTAACAACACCTGCACAGGATCGGTACATTCGAACATCACACCTGCGGGACAGGTACAGGATGCCAACTACAACTGCCCGAGTTACACCAGGAACGCACAATCACTCCATCAGTGCTCAGACTGTCCGCAATAGGCTGAGAGAGGCTGGACTGAGGGCTTGTAGGCCTGTTGAAAGGCAGGTCCTCACCAGACATCACAGGCAACAACGTCGCCTATGGGCACAAACCCACCTTCGCTGGACCAGACAGGACTGGCAAAAAGTGCTCTTCACTGACGAGTCGCGGTTTTGTCTCACCAGGGGTGATGGTCGGATTCGCGTTTATCGTCGAAGGAATGAGCGTTACACCGAGGCCTGTACTCTGGAGCAGGATCGATTTGGAGGTGGAGGGTCCGTCATGGTCTGGGGCGGTGTGTCACAGCATCATCGGACTGAGCTTGTCATTGCAAGCAATCTCAACGCTGTGCGTTACAGGGAAGACATCCTCCTCCCTCATGTGGTACCCTTCCTGCAGGCTCATCCTGACATGACCCTCCAGCATGACAATGCCACCAGCCATACTGCTCGTTCTGTGCGTGATTTCCTGCAAGACAGGAATGTCAGTGTTCTGCCATGGCCAGCGAAGAGGCCGGATCTCAATCCCATTGAGCACGTCTGGGACCTGTTGAATCGGAGGGTGAGGGCTAGGGCCATTCCCCCCATAAATGTCTGAGAACTTGCAGGTGCCTTGGTGGAATAGTGGGGTAACATCTCCCAGCAAGAACTGGCAAATCTGGTGCAGTCCATGAGGAGGAGATGCACTGCAGTACTTAATGCAGCTGGTGGCCACACCAGATACTGACTGTTACTTTTGATTTTGACCCCCCCCCCCCCCCACTTTGTTCAGGGACACATTATTCAATTTCTGTTAGTCACATGTCTGTGGAACTTGTTCAGTTTCTCAGTTGTTGAATCTTGTTATGTTCATACAAATTTTTACACATGTTAAGTTTGCTGAAAATAAACGCAGTTGACAGTGAGAGGACGTTTATTTTTTTGCTGAGTTTAGAAACATAAAACATCACCGTTTTCATATTTTGCCCAGATAGAAGCATTTAATAGTGCCCTGTAACTTCCCTTCACTCTTTCTCTCTCTGTTTCTATCTCTGTTTCGCTTTCTCGCGCTCTGTGTGTGTGTGTGTGTGTGTGTGTGTGTCCAGGCCCCCGGTAGAGGATGTTCAGACAGTGCTGAGTCCAGTGGTGAGCTGTGGCCCCCCAGGGGTCCTCCTGACCCGCCCAGTCATCCTCACCATCCACCACTGTGCCAAGGCTGATGGAGACGACTGGCAGATCGAGCTGAAGAACCAGCTGACACAGGGCCAATGGGAGGTGAGAACGCTAGGGGTCAGAGAGCAGCCAATCATCTAGCTGTAGATGCCAGTATTGTTTATACATATAGCTAAGAGGGCAGGGACTAGTCATTACAGAATACACCTGGAGCATTAGTGCTTGCAAAAGCATGTAATGTTAAAAAGAAGACAGGAATTGTCATGAAGCTTTTCAGATTCAAATACGTGATGTTGACAAAGGCTTAATTCTATAAAAAATCTTTTTTTTATATACCTTTATTTAACTAGGCAAGTCAGTTAAGAACAAATTCTTATTTACAATGACGGCCTACACCGGCCAAACCCGGACGACGCTGGGCCAATTGTGCGCCGCCCTATGGGACTCCCAATCACGGCTGGTTGTGATACAGCCTGGAATCGAACCAGGGGGTCTGTAGTGACGCCTCAAGCACTGAGATGCAGTGCCTTAGACCACTCACCACTATAGTGTTGAATTGTATAGTGGGGAAACAGACAGGTGATGTCTACTGGGCAGGAGGAACTGCAGGAGACATATAATCTGTCCCAAATGGCTCCCTATTCCCTATAGACTCTGGTCAAAAGTAGTGGACTGTATAGGGAATAGGGTATCATTTTGGGGCACAGCACCCAAGCTCAATTAGACGAGCAGGATGGTTGAAAAGCTGTTATCACAAGGAATTTGCTCAAGTTCCACCCCTCCATCCATCCTTCCTTTCTCTCCCTCTCTTCTTCTCTGCCGCTCTCTCAGCGTGAACAGACTACCTGGAGAAGTTTACTTTGTGTGTGTGTGTGTGTGTGCATGCTCTGTAGTGTGTGATAGGGGCCCACTCCTGGTCCTGTATTGATGGTGTGTTAGTACTGTTTATGATAAGACTGTCTGCAGGTAACACTGTGTGAACAAGGCCCCTATGTTATCGCACAGAAACACAATGTCTGCCCACAATTATGCATGCAGCAGCCGTGTGTGCGCATGCATGCCTGTGTGTGTGTGAGAGAGAGAGAGAGAGAGAGGGGGAGCCATCCATCTTTAGTTCCTTTGTGCTGCGGTCTCCATTTTACACTACTTTCCTCCAACTCAGTAACATTAGAATGTGGTGGCTTTTTAGACTGCTGAAGCTGCATTCACTAGCACAGGGGAGCTTCTACATACTAACTCGGTTAGCTCTATAAAACTAACCCCACATCGCTGTGGCTTTGACCTAGATATACAGTGTATAGACACTGATTTTGGGTCAGTTTTACATTTCCCCCACTAATGGTTAAGGTTAGGATTGGGGGAGGGGAAGCTGATCCTAGATCCTTATCTAGTGAAACTTTACCACAAAGCTAGATATACGTAGGGTAGATCTTATAGATTCCAGACTGTCAGAGGGACAAATAAACTGTTAAGGGCAGACGGAGAGAGATGAACCTGACTTAAGGAGTGATTGGCTTCTGCTGATGTTGAACAATAGATTCCTGTGGGTTTCTGTGGCTTGTCTTTTTGCATCCTGGTAAAACTATGTCTACGTCCCAAATGGCACCCTATTCCCTATGTACAGAAGTGCACTACATTTAGGACAAAAGTAGTGCACTATATAGGGAACAGGGTGCAATTTGGGATACATATTACATTATGTGACCCTCTTCATAGAGGACTGTCTCATTTCCCACAGAAGTACTGTATAGGGACTAAAGGACAAACAGTTATTAATGTCACTTCAGGGAAAGTCATTTAAATCTACTCAAAAGAATGACCTGGCAAATACAGTACCTGTACAGTATAATGCTACAGCACCATGGTGTCCATATTAGGAGTAATGTCATGAGAAGCTGTACTGTACTAAAGCTGACATAGCACACATTTAGGAATGATGATGCCGATTTTGCAATGAAGGTCTACAGTAGCCTCAACAGCACTCTGTAGATTAGCACCATGGTGTAGCCGGAGCACAGCTAGCTTCCGTCCTCCTCTGGGTACGCTGACTTCAATACAACACCTAGGAGGCTCATGGTTCTCACCCCCTTCCATAGACTTACCCAGTAATTATGACAGCTTCCGGAGGGCGTCCTCCAACCCATCAGAACTGTTGCAGCACGAACTGACATGTTGTCCACCCAATCAAAGGATCAGAGAATGAATCTAGTACTGTAGGCATAAGCTACAGCTAGCTAGCACTGCAGTGCATAAAATGTTGTGAGTAATTCACTCAAAGAGAGAGAAAGACAATAGTTGAACAGTTTTGAACAAATTAAGTTCTTCCAAAATGAAGGACTTTCATTTACTTACCGAGCAAATGCAGTGGCTAGTTTAGCCCACTCCCAAAAAAATTACAACCTGTAATTTAAATATTATTTGGACAAACACAAAATAGTCCAAATTGGGGAAGTGAAATTGAAAAGATAACCCTGAAGGCCCTGCTAAGCTCCACAGCGGAGATTGGAGTATCTGTCCATAGGACCACTTTAAGCCGTACACTCCACAGAGCTGGGCTTTATGGAAGAGTTGCCAGAAAAAAGCTTATTGCATAAAGAAAAAAGACTCCCCAAACATATGGAAGAAGGTACTCTGTTCAGATGAGACTAAAATTGAGCTTTTTGGCAATCAAGGAAAACGCTATGTCCGGCGCAAACCCAACAGCTCTCATCACCCCGAGAACACCATCACCATAGTGAAGCATGGTGGTGGCAGCATGATGCTGTGGGGATGTTTTTCATCGGCAGGGACTAGGAAACTGGTCAGAATTGAAGGAATGATGGATGGCGCTAAATACAGGGAAATTTGAGGGAAACCTGTTTCAGTCTTGCAGAGAATTGAGACTGGGATGGAGGTTCACCTTCCAGCAGGACAATGACCCTAAGCATACTGCTAAAGCAACACTTGAGTAGTTTAAGGGGAAACATTTAAATGTCTTTGAATGGCCTAGTCAAAGCCCTACCTCAATCCAATTGAGAATGTACACCAGCGGAACCCATCCAACTTGAAGGAGCTGGAGCAGTTTTGCCTTGTAGAATGGGCAAAAATCCCAGTGGCTAGATGTGCCAAGCTTATAGGGACATACCCCAAGAGACTTGCAGCTGTAATTGCTGCAAAAGGTGGCTCTACAAAGTATTGAATTTGGGTTGGTGAATAGTTATGCACGCTCAAGTTCAGTTTTTTTTGTCTTATTTCTTGTTTGTTTCACAATAAAAAAAAATATTTTGCATCTTCAAAGTGGTAGGCATGTTGTGTAAATCAAATGATACAAACCCCAATTCCAGGTTGTAAGGCAACAAAATAGGAAAAATGCCAAGGGGGCGGGGTGAATACTTTCGCAAGCCACTACATATGTCGATGTTGGGGTGGTGCTGGAAAGTTTCCCTTTAAATGCATAGAATGAATAGAACTGGGTCCCAATTCAAGTCAATGATTCTTCCGTTCTATGCATTCTATTTCTATGCATTTAATCCTGTCTGATAGGTGAAATCCAGAGAGATAACTTTTAAGGAAAATGGGTCCAGAAGACGAAGGGTCCACACTGTCTGTGCTGAGCCCAGCAACATCCTAGGTGTGTTGTAAGAACACATTTATCAAACAAAGAAGAAAATCACTGAATACACGCCTTATAGATGACCATTGGCTCATAATACCTCATAACAGCCTCACTACTTTTATTTCAAATGAGTGCCTGTCATATGTGTTCCCCCCTACCCTAAGGGTTAATTACATACACTACCAGTCACACTTACACACCTACTCATTCAAGGGTTTTTCTTTATTTTGTATATTTTTTACATTGTACCAAAAAAAGTGTTAAACAAATCAAAATATATTTTATATTTGAGATTCTTCAAAGAGCCACCCATTGCCTTGATGACAGCTTTGCACGCTCTTGGCATTCTCTCAACCAGCTTTCTGTAAAGGCCTTTAATTCCTTTTTTTCTCTCCTCATAATAGCCGGGAAATGAATGCTAGTGTGTGGCTCATGTACTGTATGATTATAAATAATAGAAAGCAGAGCATCATGGCGTGAGACAATGCAGTGTTGGAACAAGGAGTTATGGCACAAGTAGAGGAGTCACTGGAGAATGTAGAGGAGAGGTCGGACATGGGCAGTGTGTATTGTCTGGGTGGCAGTGCTGCTCGTTCACGCACGTGTGCACGTTCATACATACACACAGCCACAACCACACACATACACGTCATATAGACAAGGGTGCCGCTGTAGAGTTGGATTTATACCAGGGGAATGCAATAGGGCCAGTCTCTTATCATACCATAACCAAGTGTGTGTGTTTGTTCTTCAGGACGTGGTGGTGGTCGGGCAGGAGAACTTCACCACGCCTTGCTACATCCAGTTGGATGAGGAGGCGTGTCACCTGCTAACAGAGACCCTAGGTACCTACTGCCTGGTGGGCCAGTCTGTCAGCAAGTCTGCTGCCAAGCGCCTCAAACTGGCCATCTTCGGCCCCGTGTCCAGCACCACACTGGAGTACCACATCCGAGTCTACTGCCTGGATGACACCCAAGATGCACTCAAGGTACAGGGGACCACTAAGACCTCTAAGACTTAGGATAGTCTTAGAGGTACCAACTCCTTGTGACTCTGAGGCTATCCTAATATGGACAGCATACACCAATTAAATCATGCTCTCTCTCGCTCGCTCACTCACTCCCACATTCACTCACCAGGGAGAAGATTTTGAAAACAAATGTATAAAAAAAAAAAAAACTGAAATATCACATTTACATAAATATTTAGACCCTTTACTCAGTACTTTGTTGAAGCAACTTTGGCAGCGATTACAGCCTCGAGTCTTCTTGGGTATGGCGCTACAAACTTGGCACACCTGTATTTGGGGAGTTTCTCCCATTTCTTCTCTGCAGATCCTCTCAAGCTCTGTCAGGTTGGATGGGGAGCATTGCTGCACAGCTATTTTCAGGTCTCTCCAGAGATGTTCAATCGGGTTCAAGTCCGGGCTCTGGTTGGGCCACTCAAGGACATTCAGTGACTTGTCTCGAAGCCACTCCTGTGTTTTCTTGGCTGTGTGCTTAGGGTCGTTGTCTTGTTGGAAGGTGAACCTTCACCCCAGTCTGAGGTCTGAGCCATGAAGTGCTTTGAAAGGCTGGTCATGGCTCACATCAACACCATTATCCCAGAAACCCTAGACCCACTCCAATTTGCATACCGCCCCAACAGATGATGCAATCTTTATTGTGCTCCACACTGCCCTTTCCCACCTGGACAAGAGGAACACCTACATGAGAATGGAATTCATTGACTACAGCTCAGCGTTCAACACCATAGTGCCCTCAAAGCTCATCACTAAGCTAAGGACCCTGGGACTAAACACCTCCCTCTGCAACTGGATCCTGGACTTCCTGACAGGCCGTCCCCAGGTGGTAAGGGTATGTAACAACACATCTGCCATGCTGATCCTCAACACGGGGGCCCCTCAGGGGTGCGTGCTCAGTCCCCTCCTGTACTCCCTGTTCACCCATGACTGCATGGCACAACTCCAACACCATCATTACGTTTTCTGACGACACAACAGTGGTAGGCCTGATCACCAACAACGTTGAGACAGCCTATAGGGAGGAGGTCAGAGACCTGGCCATGTGGTGCCAAGATAACGACCTCTCCCACAACGTGATCAAGACAAAGGAGATGTTTGTGGACTACAAGAAAAAAAAGAGGACTTAGCATGCCCCCATTCTCATCGACGGGCTGTAGTGGTGTCCACATCACCAACGAACTATCATGGTCCAAACACACCAAGACAGTTGTGAAGAGGGTACGACAAAGCCTATTTCCCCTCAGGAGACTGAAAAGATTTGTCATGGGTCCTCAGATACGCAAAAGGTTCTACAGCTGCACCATCGAGAGCATCCTGACTGGTTGCATCACCGCCTGGTATTGCAACTGCTTGGCCTCTGACCGCAAGGCACTACAGAGGGTAGTGCGTATGGCCCAGTACATCACTGGGGCCATGCTTCCTGCCATCCAGGACCTCTATACCAGGCGGTGTCAGAGGAAGGCCCTAAAAATTGTCAAAGACTCCAGCCACCCTAGTCATAGACTGTTCTCTCTGCTACCGCACTGCAAGTGTACCAGAGCGCCAAGTCTAGGCCCAAAAGGCTTCTTAACAGCTTCTACCCCCAAGCCATAAGACTCCTGAACAGCTAGTCATGGCTTCCCAGACTATTTGCATTGTCCACCCCACCCCCTCTTTTATGTTGCTGCTACTCTGTTTATTATCTATGCATAGTCACTTTAACTCTACCCACATGTACATTTCATTTACATTTTAGTCATTTAGCAGACGCTCTTATCCAGAGCGACTTACAGGAGCATTTAGGGTTAAGTGCCTTGCTTAAGGGCACATCGACAGATTTTTCACCTAGTCGGCTCGGGGATTAGAACCAGCGACCTTTCGGTTACTGGCACAACGCTCTTACCCACTAAGCTACCTGCCGCCCTCAATTACCTTGACTAACCGGTGCCCCTGCACATTGACTCAGTATGGTTACCCCCTGTATATAGCCTCCGTACAGTTATTTTATTTTACTGATGCTCTTTATTTTTTATTGTTATTTTTTACTTATCTATTTTTTACCTAACACTTATGCATATTCTTGATACCATTTGAAAGGAAACACTTTGAGGTTTGTAGAAATGTGAAATTAATGTAGGAGAATAACACATTCGATCTGGTAAAAGATAATACAAACAAAAAAACATGCATTTTCAATTTTTTGTTTTCTTCCATAATCTTTGAAAAGCAAGCGAAAGGCCACAATATAATATTGCAGTATAGGCGCAATTTAGATTTTGGCCACTAGATATAATATGCCATTTAGCAGACGCTTTTATCCAAAGCGACTTACAGTCATGTGTGCATACATTTTTACGTATGGGTGGTCCCGGGGATCGAACCCACTACCCTGGCGTTACAAGCGCCAAGCTCTACCAATTGAGCTACAGAGGACCACTGGCAGCAGTGTGTGTGCAAAGTTTCAGATTGATCCAGTGAAGCATTGCAATACTGCACTATTTTGTATCATGTCTGCCCAAATGTGCCGAATTGGTCAATTTACACATTTTCAGGTACATAACTATAGAGAACATACACAAATGATATGGTAAATCCAGGCTCTGTCGCAGCCGGCCGCGACCGGGAGACTCATGGGCGGCGCACAATTGGCCCAGCGTCGTCCACGGTAGGGGAGGGAATGGCCGGCAGGGATGTAGCTCAGTTGATAGAGCATGGCGTTTGCAACGCCAGGGTTGTGGGTTCGATTCCCACGGGGGGCCAGTATAAAAAAAATATGTATTCACTAACTGTAAGTCGCTCTGGATAAGAGCGTCTGCTAAATGACTAAAATGTAAATGTAAAAAATGTATGTAAATGTAATACAAAATGTAAGTTTACACACTCCCAGGAATGTCATATATGATGGATCATTAGCTTATACAGTCGTGGTCATAAGTTTAGAGAATGACACAAGTATTGGTCTTCACAAAGTTCGCTGCTTCAGTGTTATGAGATTTTTGTCAGATGTTACTATGGTATACTGAAGTATAATTACAAGGATTCCATACGTGTCAAAGGCTTTTATTCACAATTACATTAAGTTTATGCAAAGTCAATATTTGCAGTGTTGACCCTTCTTTTTCAAGACCTCTGCAATCTGCCCTGGCATGCTGTCAATTAACTTCTGGGCCACATCCTGACTGATGGCAGCCCATTCTTGCATAATCAATGCTTGGAGTTTGTCAGAATTTGTGGGTTTTTGTTTGCCCACCCGCCACTTGAGGATCGACCACAAGTTCTCAATGGGATTAAGGTCTGGGGAGTTTCCTGGCCACAGACCCAAAATGTCTATGTTTTGTTCCCTGAGCCACTTAGTTATCACTTTTGCCTTATGGCAAGGTGCTCCATCATGCTGGAAAAGGCATTGGTCATCACCAAACTGTTCTTGGATGGTTGGGAGAAGTTGCTTTTGGAGGATGTGTTGTTTGGAATCCGAATGTTTGGAATGGTCAGTGGGGATCTAAAGACTAATCATGTCATATTGTTTATTGATGTCATAAAAAATGTTATAACAAAATTACTGTAATTTGGAAAGTATACACACTTAATCTGTCAAGTTTACATCCAATATGTTGTGTATATAATATGGAGAATTACGAGAGAATTTTGTTAAGATAGAAATGTGATTTTAGTTTTCTAACAAATTCATATATTTTCATATAAGCTATGCACGGTGACTAGACACGCCCGAGTGAGCTCAGAGACCGTGTCAGCAAGTAGAAACACCCCTTTTACCAGAGTGCATAAAAAGCCTTGGTAACTAAATTTACATTAGACCAGAAAGCGTGGAGCTGTGGCTACACGGCTTAAAATGGTTAGACCAGAAAGCGTGGAGACGGTAGTCCACACGTTTGAAATGCTTAGAACTTTGAATCTCAACATGAGGTGAAGAAGATAAACTCACCAGACTAGACCTGAACATTGCCAGTCTAAAGTAAAGCACTTCAAACTCTGACTAAAGATATGAGTTGGGAAGGAGAAAATCCCATCTCAGACAATCACTGAGTCTCTGCTCTGAGTACACTCCACTACAAGCCAGGACAACTAAGGACATTGTGAGCTCTGGTGGACAACCAGAGCCTTACCTCAACAAACCCCCTTCCCCATAGAAGGATTTATTGGTTTCAACAGAGAGAGACGACGAACAAAGATGTCTACACGTAAATACATTCATGACTTCTTACCCAAACGGCGGTGTTTCGTGAGAAAAGTATTATGATTACTTTGAGGGTAGCTTCCAAATGTATCAACGATAAGTTGACTCTCTCTTTGTCTCTCCCTCTCCCCCTCCCTCTCTCTTCCTTACCCCTCCCTCTTTTGATAACCAAGCAGTCATGCTGTTAGTCCGCTAAGGACTTTTTATATTAAGTGTATGTATTCTGTGTTATTATTTAGTTAGCTAGTAAATAAATAATTAAGCCAATTTGTGTAGTGCTGAATCATAAGTAAAGCTGGGGTTCTTGCGGATCCAAGAATTTTGCGACCGTTCAGAATGAGACTGATGAGGTAATGATTGATACGTTGACTGTTTTACACATATTGATAGGTAAATACCTTTCAGAGTTTAATTCGGGAGATGGTAACTCTATAAACAACTTCTTCCGTGGTGCCCCAAATCCTAATTAGTTAATTGTTACATGATTAATTTAATCAAGTAACAATTAAACATAGTTGATTTGATAAATAACAGTCATCATATTAATGAAAGTCACGTCACGACAGTGTCTTTAGGTGCCTTTTGACAAACTCCAAGCGGGTTGTCGTGTGCCTTTTACTGAGGAGTGGCTTCCGTCTGGCCACTCTACCATGAAGGCCTTATTGGTGGAGAGCTGCAGAGATGGTTGTCCTTCTGGAAGGTTCTCCCATCTCCACAGAGGAACTCTAGAGCTCTGTCAGAGTGACCATCGGGTTCTTGGTCACCTCCCTGACCAAGGCCCTTCTCCCCCGATTGCTCAGTTTGGCCCGGGGGCCAGCTCTAAGAAGAGTCTGGGTGGTTCCAAACCTCTTCCATTTAAGAATGATGGAGGCCACTGTGTTCTTAGGGACCTTCAAAGCTGCAGAAATGTTTTGGTACCCTTCCCCAGATCTCTGCCTTGACACAATCCTGTATCGGAGCTCTACGGACAATTCCTTTGACCTCATGGCTTGGTTTTTGCTCTGACATGCACTGTCAACACTGCCTTTCCAAATCATGTCCAATCAATTGAATTTACCACAGGTGGACTCCAATCAAGTTATAAAAACATCTCAAGTATGATCAATGGAAACAGGATGCACTTGAGCTCAATTTCGAGTCTCATAGCAAAGGGTCTGAATACTTATCTAAATAAGGTATTTCTGTTTTAAATATTTTATAAATTAGCAAACATTTCTAAAAACCTGTTTTTGCTTTGTCATTATGGGGTATTGTGTGTAGATTGCTGAGGAAAATGTTGTATTTAATCCATTTTAGAATAAGGCTGTAACGTTTAAAAAAATGTGGAGTGAAGGGGTCTGAATACTTTCCGAAGGCGCTGTATGTCTGTAGTTGAATGTAATAAGTTATCTGATATACACTTACACAATGACTCTTCACCAGTTTGCTGGTTTGCACTAGCCTCACATGGATTTAGGCTTATGCATCCAGTATCATAATGGATACTACCATTGTGGTTAAGTCAAAAGTTATTTTGTGTCCGTGTCTTTCCTGCTGTAGGAGGTCCTTCAGATGGAGACTCAGATGGGAGGAAAGCTGTTGGATGAACCAAAAATCCTGAACTTCAAGGACGGCACCCACAACCTGCGCCTCTCCATCCACGACATCCCCCACGCACAGTGGAAGAGCAAGCTGCTCGCCAAGTACCAGGTGAGCTCATGGTGAAAAAATTGGAGTCTACTTGACTTGCGTCGCAATAAATAAATCATATATATATAGTATATAGTCTTCGAAGACTATATACAATATATATTGAAGAATTATGTTGTCTCAGACTGGTTTCATAGACGAGACGTAACATAGTAAACGTAAATCCGGGACACACAAATTAGTATGATATGTTACGTTTGGTATAGTTACATAAGACAAAAGGTTACTTAAGGCAAAAATGAAAATAGGGTGGTTGCGTCTAGCAACCCAAGGGTTGCGTGTTTGAATCTCATCACGGACAATTTCAGCTAATTAGCAACTAGTTACTACTTTTTAGCTACTTTGCAACTACTTAGCATGTAACCTTAACCCTTTTAGCTAACCCTTCCCTAACCATTTAACCTAACTCCTAACCCTAACCTTAACCCCTAGAGCTAGCTAACGTTAGCATTATCTACCTAGCCACCTAGGTAACATTATCAACAATTTGGAATTCGTAACATATCATACAAAATGGATGATGGAGATCCACAAATGTAATACATACCATATGAAACTTAACATATCATACTAAATGGAGTGTCACAGATTCACGTACAGAATAATACGAAATGCTCTGAGACAAAGTTATGTGTCTGTGTGCTAACCCTTCTGTGTATGTGTGTGTGTGTGTGTGCTTGCATGTGTATTTGTGTGTGTGTGTTTATGTATGTGTAGGAGATCCCTTTCTACCAGGTGTGGAGTGGCTGCCAGCGGACCCTGCACTGCACCTTCACCCTGGAGCGGTTCAGTGCCAGCACCACAGAGCTCAGCTGTAAGCTGTGTGTACGCCAGGTGGAGGGAGAGGGACAGATCTTTCAACTCAGCAGCACTTTGTCTGAGGTGAGACTCAACCCTCACACACCATTTGTTGTATGTACTGTACACTGTATACTCTCTGGTACCCTTTTCCTATATAGTGCACCATTTTTTACCAGGGCCCATAGGGGTCCGGTCAAAAGTAGTGCACTATATAGGGAATAGGGTGCCATTTGGGGGACACAGTATTTTTTGTGGACATTTTTATTTATTGGTTTTCACAACAATCAAAACATCTTTCATGTGATGTTCAATAATTCAATTTGACAAGCACAGCATATAACCAAAAAAATATAACAAATATATATATATATACAGCATATACATTAGATACATCACACATATGTATTATACCATACAATAACACCTGCATATACACAGAGTGTACAAAACATTAGGAACACCTGCTCTTTCCATGACAGACTGACCAGGTGAATTCAGGTGAAAGCTATGATCCCTTATTGATGTCACCTGTTAAATCCACTTCAATCAGTGTAGCTGAAGGGGAGGAGAAAGGTTAACCCTTTGACACGTACCAACACACGGGTGTGATCATTCTACAGTGGTCCCTGCAGCGTACGCTCAAACCGGTGTGATTAGAACGCTTATTTAGAACGTCCAGTTTCGATTGACGCAACAGTCAGCGTTTGAGCTGGCAACATTGTTTTATTCACAGAAACATTTTGCACAAACAGTCCTTACAACGTTATGTCCTTAATGTGACCAGTTTATATTTGGATGCAATGTTCAGACACAGAAGTGGCAACATTATAACACAATCATCCAAACCTTAAAATGTAGTCCTAGCGCTAACTGAGGAAAGATTGACCTAACATAAGCAGTCATATTTAGCTAACTCTCAGAAACCATAATATGATTAGCTAATAGAAATTACTATTTACAATTCATCACATCACGGGTAAGCTCACCATTGATCGAAATAATTGAGCAAAACACTTTCTAGGAACCGAACGTAATCGACGATGGGTAGTTTGTGCGCGCCGTCATTATTTTTTATTTGTGTCAAACAAAAATAAGAAGAAAAGACAAGATGAGTTTGATCTGTTTGCAGTATGCATGTTGAAGGGGGTGTGTCATCTACCATCATTCACTTACCTTCATTAACTTCCGGAAGTTTACTCGAAAGATGAGTGAACCATCCCTCACTTCATTTTGTTACAACATCTTTGGTCTGACAAACGTTTACGTGACACGCAGAATGCATTGTATAATGTCAACAAACATGGTGCCACACATAGTTGGCAAATAGCTTAGCATTAGCTCATCATAATCAGTACAACCTTCAAAAAAGTAATATGTGTCAATTACAATCTATGCAAGAATCAGAATGCATGATTTGTCACCAGTACTTGAAAATGTGAATAAAACAGTTAATACATTATGCTCCGTACATACGGTATGCTACAGTAGAAACGACAACACGTTAAACAGAAAATAAGGCACTTACTTTGATTGGAATGCAAACATGTTCAAAGTTATTTGTAAGGAAAGCAACAATGAAGCCAATGCGAGTGCCAGCCTGAAAATGTGTCAGGTGGAAAGAAGTTTGTGCTAGACTGTGCAAATGTCTGCATACTTGATCTGGGGAAACACTGGGGAGGTGCTTGGACTCGGTCGCCAGGTGTACGGTGTTTCCTCCAACACATTGGTGTGGCTGGCTTCCAAGTTAAGCGAGCAGTGTGTCAAGAAGCAGTGCGGCTTGGCAGGGTCGTGTTTTGGAGAATACATGGCTCTCGACCTTCGCCTCACCCGAGTCCGTGCGGGAGTTGCTGCGATGGGACAAGGCTGTAACTATCAATTGGATATCACGAAAAAGGGGTAAAAGTAAAAAAGCGAAAAATAATAATACATTTTTTAAAACATTGGTGCCCAAAGACCATTAAAATAATACACAACTCATCGTACCTTGACACGAATGGGGTATGGCATTTTTAAGCAAGAAAATGCCTCATGCCACAAGGCTAGAATTGTCCAGGAATGGTTCCACAAACATGACAGTGAATTCAGCTTACTGCAGTGGCCTGCTCAGTCACCAGATCTCAATCCAATTGAGCATCTGTGGGATGAGATGGAACGAGATATTCGGAGTAGAGATCCATTTGAGCCAGTGGTTCCAAAATCAAAAGCAAACAGCAGGTGGAGAGCAGACAACCTTGTCCCGTACTACGACCAATAGGGAAGGGAGCAGACACCATTCCATTCGTGCTCACTCTGGCTTTTGGTCCGTCATATAAAAGCTTAACACAGTTAATGAAATATGTAACAAAATGCTCCAAAATCTTGAAGAGATACTCCGATTCTACACGATCAAAGGCTTTCTCTGCATCGAGAGAGCCTTGGATAAGATATGAAAATGGTGCCTTAAGTTATTAGTTGACATTCTATCTTTAATGAACCCTGTCTGGTCATTGTTAATCAATGTTGGTAGGTACCCTTCCAGCCTGAGTGCGATGGCTTTAGCAATGAATTTCAAATCAACATTAATTAATGAGACCGGGTGATAAGAAGTTGGCAGAGTGGGGTCTTTTTTCCAGTTTACAGATCAATGAAATCAAAGCCTCTTGTAGAGTTGGAGGTAACACACCCTTTTCAATAATATATTTATACATTTCCTTTAATGGATCTATTAGTTTCTACTGTGAAACCGTCTAGCCCTGAAGCTTTTCCTGACTGAAGGATCATGAGGGCTCTCAGTATTTCCCCTTTGTTTAGGTTGATCTAATAGATTCTTATCTGTCTCCGATAGCTTGGGCACTTTTAGTGAGTTCAGGAAAAGTTTGGATTTTTTAGATGCATTCTCACTCTCCGATGTATAAAACTGTTCATGAAAGTCTTTAAAGCAATTGTTTATCTCCTGTGTGTTGCATGTCAGCATAGAGTCTGTTTTTTTTACTTATTGAATGCTGAAATAAGGCATTTGTTTTGCCATGAAGTTTGTGGCCTTTATCTCCCAATTCATAGTAACTTTGCCTTGTTCTTGTCCCGAGCGCCGATGACGTGGACATCGATTAAGGCAGCCCCCCACACCTCTCTGATTCAGAGGGCTTGTGTGAAATTTGGAAGACACATTTCAGTTGAATGCATTCAGTTGTGCAACTGACTAGGTATCCCCCTTTCCCTTTCTCAATAAGGCTTTCTCTACTTTAAGTGTTTGAGATGTCATATTGCCTTCTTTTTCTGGGCAGAGTTTTGTATAGTCCTGCAGATCTGGTATGAAAAAGCTATTTTTCCAGATTCTAAAATGTCTTAAAACACGTTTTCACTTAGTCATCATGGGATATTGTGTATAGATGGGTGAGAGAAAAAATTATATTTAATCCATTTTAAATTCAGGCTGTAACACAACACAATATGGAAAAAGTCAAGGGGTTGTGAACACTTTATGAAGGCACTGTATGTGTCGACCTCCAGGATCACTCTCTACCTTATCAAGAAGTAAGGGCACTTTTTGTTTACCACAATGCAAGCCCGTCTTGATCTGGACGTAACGGTCAAAGATCTGACCTCCCCAAATCCTGTCTTAACTACTTATGTTCTTTTGCACATAAATTAGTTTCCTGTAAAAAAATAAAATATCTTACTTGTACTTCTTAAGGTAGATGAGGACCTTCTTCCTCTTAATTGAATGATTTAAGCCGTTACCATTCCAGGATATAAATCGTAGAGGCGTGGCCATTAAATATTCAGAGACTTAAATAAATAAATCAGCCTCATATTCACAACTGAGTAAGATAGTGTGTAGTCAGTGAGGTATACAATTGAAGTATGATAAGTTGCTTTGCATTTGGTGTGTATACAGTACAAGTATGGTATCATGAAAAACATTAACACTGTAGTTAAAAAAATTAACTACAAACCCCCTTCCCCAAACGACGAGGGTTAAATACCCTAGACAGTATACAAGAACGTTTCTGCTCGGCTACCGTTACTGCAACTGGACAAGCATTTGTATAGGGAGTTGTGGTCCTGCTAACAGGCTCCTAACAATGACCTATGAGTGTGCTTTAAAGTAACAATGGCCATATCTTAGGAAACACAAAGATTGTGTTCAAAGATAAAGGTCTTGGTACCGCAATAATCCTCTAGAGGCTAGCTCACATGTCTATCCTTTGATAAGTAAATAATAAACCAAATTAATAAATAAAGACTGGGTAGGCCTATATGGTGTTAGTTATTGAATTCTGCTGGTTCTGTCCTTAATTAAGAAAAAAATATATAAGTACTTTTGTGTCCCTTTAACTGACCCGCTCTGCTTTAAACTAAAATCATAACCTAGGCCTAAATAGGAAAATACTGGGCATGTGACGTTAGCAATTAACTATTGATGGTTCTGCCAATAATTAAGATAGCTAGAGTACACACGAAAAATATAGCCTAGATAATATACTTTGGGTGAACAATCTCCTTAATTGCCCTCTTTTGCAATAAACTAACTGGGTAAAGAAGGAGAGTAGGAATTTAAGAATGAAAGCCTGGTCATTTGACCTCAATTGTGGCCATGAGCTGGGTCGGCCATTAGGTTTGTTAAATGAGGAAGAGTAAAAGAAAAAGCAAATAAATTAGAGATAAAAGTACTATTGAGTGAACTACCCCTTTAACTGCCCCATTTCCTCAATCAACCATATACAGTACATTTGGGTATCATAGGTATTCACCCCCCTTTTTGTTGTGTTAAAAAGTGGGATTGACAGATTTCATTGTGATTATTTGCTCAAAGTTATTAATGATGCTTTGGATGGTGTATCAATACACCCAGTCACTACAGAGATACAGGCGTCCTTCCTAACTCAGTTGCTGGAAAGGAAGGACACTGCTCAGGGGTTTCACCATGAGGCCAATGGTGACTTTAAAACAGTTACAGAGTTTAATGGCTGTGATAGGAGAAAACTGAGGATGGATCAACAACATTTATAGTGATTTCACAATAATGACATTTACATTTTAGCAGACGCTCTTATCCAGAGTGACTTACAGTTAGTGCATACATTATATATATATAT